ATCTTTGATCCACTCTGCTCTGACGTGTTTCCTGAAACAATCGGCCAGGATTCTAATATAATTATAAGTATGATGATTATTGTGGAAGAGAGGAAAATAAAGTTTCCTCACAGATAAATATTACAATATGAAATAAATTGTAGTGCTGTACATTGCAAAATAGTTGTATTAAGAAATGTGTTTTGGAGACTGGAGTAAGGCAAAACCAGAAGAAATTAGGATAACAAAGAAAAAAGCAGTGTTTAGTCTGTACTGAACACAACTCTGTATTCACAGCTTTCCTTTTTCCTTTTCTTCGAGCACCATCACTTTATGTCTCTGCTGACTGATCCTATGCTACTGCCTTAGGTTTAGTTCAACAGCCTAACTGTAGCTGATTGGGAGTCCCTGGGCTGTTCCTGTCCCTGAGATTCAGGAAGCTCATTCTAAAGCATGTGGCATGCTGCTTAAAATAGACACCTTGGTGTTGTACTGAGCAGAGGAACCTCTTGTGTGCATTTGTGTATTGCTGTATGGGCGGTTTATTGCATCGAGAAGAGATTTGAGTCCAAGTTTGGTCCTGACAGGCTCTCAGGTGTGCTCTAGTCTGAGCAGTTCCTGCGCTTATGAGACAAACACCCCTTGAAGCCCAAGTTTTCCAGTCCCAGCCTGTGCTGTTCTTCTCCTCCAGGACATGTCTGCCCGTGGCTCAGCAGCACAGCTTCCGAAGCCCTACGAGCCCGAGCCCGTGGCGAAGTACGGCACTCTGGACGTGGTATTTGACTACGACTCCGAGGAGCAGAGGCTGCTGGTCACGGTGACGGCCGTGACAGACATCCCCGCGCTCAAGCGGACCGGGAACATCTCTTGGCAGGTCCACCTGGTCCTGCTGCCCCAGAGGAAACAGAGGGCCAAGACTGGCATCCAGAAAGGGCCCTGTCCCGTTTTCACAGAGACCTTCAAGTTCACCCGAATCGAGTCGGAGATGATCGGGAACTACGCGGTACGCTTCCGGCTGTATAGTGTGCGGCGCATGAAGAGAGAAAAAGTGCTGGGGGAGAAGGTGTTCTACCTCACCAAGCTCAACCTGCAGGGCAAGATGTCTGTTCCTGTCACACTGGAGCCCTGCTGCAGCCTCACAGTGAGTACCATGGCAGGGCCGCACAGCCTGCTGGTGGATCAAAAGAACAAACCGTACAGGTCTCTGGAGCAGGTTCTCTGAGATGTCCTTTGATTTCATTTGCTCTTTGAAAAAGAAAACTGTAAGCTATAAATCAAACCTCAAATCCCACTTAATCACACAGATTTATGAGACGTTACTCAGTGACCCATTGAGAACTGACAGTCATAAGGAAATGAGGCATGGAAAGGTTCATTTTTGTTCTTTACATTTGCTGAGATTTGGATAGATTGACAAGAGCATCTGTGGCTTGTGCCGTGTGGTTTTAGCAAGGTCTTGCTGGTGCCTTTACATGAAGAAGAAAAAGAGGGCATGCCTTTAAAAGTTTTGACTAAAGAACAGGAAAATAGATGATTGGTTCTGCTCTAGACACAATAATTACATACTGACGTCCAAAGGAAAATATGTCTGGTATTTGGCATGTAACTAGGAGCTGTATGTTTGGCACAAACCTGATTAAACCTTGGCCTCAAGGTTTAAAGTTTTGGTCTTATTACTGAGACCAAGTTACAGGGTACCACTTTCAAAGTACCTTTTATTGGAATGGTAAAGTGGAAGTATAGTATATGAGGCATGGCACGTTTAGCAACAGCAGCTTGAAAGAAGGGAATGTAGAGTTAAAAGGTTAAAAAGAACTGTTATGCCAGGGTGAACCAATCATGTAATGTTTCATTAAGAGTTTTGTGATCTGACCTGAGCCATGGCCCTGTGTTCACTCCTGGTTTGGTAATTTGGCAATGTGATATTGACAGGTTTTTTTTTTTGTAGATTTTCCTAAGCGCACACCCTCATCCGCTTACAGTATGACAAAAAAAGACAAATCAGAGCGCTTGGCAGCTGTAGTTGATGGAATTTCAAGAAACAATAAAAACTGGGTGAATCCGCGTTCGGTTCGCAGAGGGTACGGTGCGAGTAGTGGGCGTGTCTGTGTGCCAGCAGGGCTGCGACTCTCAAATGAGCATCTCCGAGATGTCCTGCAGCGAGACTGCCTCGTCTTTCCAGTCCGCGGGCCAGGGCTCCATGCCGGAGATCTTGGTGGGACTCATCTACAATGCCACCACTGGGCGGCTCTCTGTGGAAGTCATCAAGGGCAGCCACTTCAAGAACCTGGCAGCCAACAGACCACCCAGTAAGTACCTTTCGAAGTGTTTATTAAACATCTCTCTGCCGACGTGTCAAACGATAACACAGCCACCCACCTGCAGGAAAAGTCATTAGTGTTTTCCCTTTTACCTTTTGAGGCAAGGCAAAGCCTATTGGAAACTCCAGTGTCAATAGAAAGACATGCCATTTTCACTTTGTCCTTCTTTTTTCCTTTTTACAGATCCCAGTATGATCACTGTGTAAATTCTAGACTTAAATGGAATGATCTTGAAGTGGCTGGTTTTTGCAGAAAAGCCCTAACGAACAGTGCACATTTATTGGAATTACAACTGCAGCACACTTTCTTCCAGTATTGTGTGTTCGGCTTCCAGTTAAGATGGTTTTGTTTTTGTTTTTTCATTTTCACAGATTAAAATAGATTCAGTAGACAAAATGTGAATGGCATCCAAAATTGTGCAATGCTATAAGTCCTCTTTATTAACACGTTAAAATGACTTTCAGTGACATTATAGAGAGAGTTTGCTGAGTAGAGGGTAGAAAATGGCTCTTTTGGGTTTGCCCTGCTGAGATTTTTCTTTAGTCTGGATTTTAAATCACTCAAACCAAATTGTTAGTGTTCTTGTTCAATTTTATATAATTAACAGCAAACCAAAAAAAAAAATATACACCTGTGTCCATGTTTCCCTGTAGTGTGATCTATCAAGCAATCAATCATTTAGACCAGTAAACCTAACATGAATCCTTTTTTTTTTGCTTCACTACTGTGTCACATTTTCACTGTAGAGTCAAATTCATTGTACTCTGTGATAGACCACAGACATTTCAACTTGTATATATTCAGCTAAAGAAATACTGTACAGTAGTAATTTACCCCACACACACTCATAAACTCTCAGACCGTTTTGGTAAATGTCCACATTTAATGTATCATGTCCCTTTTATCATTTTATCATCTTGCTGTGATACACTGTTAGATATTTTATACACCACGGCACATTACAATATATGTATGTCTACATTTTACTCAAAACCTCCATTAGTGTTTTCTGCTATTATATAAAATTTGACTGCTATTAACACAACTTAGTGTGGGTGAGAATAAACCAATCTTGTCATGTTGCAATCGTTAATACAATAATGAGCAGCTACTATGAAGTGTTACAATTGCCAATCAACTCAAGCGGAAAGGTTTTTCTCCTTATTAACATAATTTGTTCTGCTATACACATCCATAACTAAAAGCCTACTTTCATGCTATCAAAGATAGATGTATCAGTATTAGCTGTTAGAGTTGAACACAATAGCTGAAATTTGGGTTGAGCAATGTCACAGAATTTCTATTCTGTTTCTGCACAAAGAAAAAAATATAATGACTTTTGCACAGCAGTTTAGAAAATATACTGAGCATTGAAAGAAAGTTATCACTCTGTTATACATGTATATATTTTAAACAATGAAGTTTACAGATTTTGGATTATGTTTGGCATTATATTCATTAATTGATCTTTCATATGTGGCCTTGATACTCTCCAGTGACTGGCTGTTGCATAAGCACTAAATCACCTCGTTAGTGACCACAAGTGATGAGGTGAAAATCAAGCCTGGTGAAAATAAAGAAAAATACATACTGTAATACACCCTGCTTAACAAACGGCATTTGGGGGCATTTTTGTTTCTAGATTTTTATATTTATTTTGGTTATATGTGACACATTTCTTATGATGTTCATTATAAGAAAAATGTGTATATTTTATAAAAGTACATTTTCTTAAATGGAAGGTGCTTTATTAAAACTTGCTAAATACTGGATATGCATAGAGTATACTCTACTAACAGACACACATTCTTTTTCAGTATATCAAGTGTAGTTTTTTTTTCTTTATATTTTAAGACACATTTTTAAATCTTGCTACTCAACATGATTGCCATTAGTAATTAATTCAGTTTCTTGAATATATAAATAATTGACCAAAATGTATTATCTCCCTGTATGCAGTAAGTTACAGTATATGAACTTGAACTTTATTGCCATATGTAACCGGTACATGTACTGGTACAATAGAATTCTTACTTACAGAAAGTCTATCGATTGTTAAAAAAAGTGTAAAGTGCAGACAGTGCATCAAGACAATATAAAAACAAACAGTAGACAATGTACAAGTAAGCAAGTAAACAGTTTGAATGTAAACAATGCAGACATGTAAACAATGACTGCAGATGTGCAATAAACAAAATTATTCATGAGGTAGAAGGTGTAGGTTTGGTCTGAGGGGCTTGGCTAAATGTGTACAGTATACAGTATTAGTTCAGGTGGGTAGCTGCGTCAGCATGCGTAGGCTGCATGTATACAGTATGCCTAAGTGTAGAACATAACCATCCAAATTCTATGAAAAAAAGCCTTTCATCTCCCACAGAAACTACTATATATAGTATATCATTCAACTAAAATCTACAGGGCAGGGAAGCTGTTTTTTTTGTCTATGCCTTCTCATGTTCTATTCATTGGATGAATTTTCAGCGTGATGCAAGGGGAGAAATGCTAAAGTATAGCTAGCTATGTGGGTGTAATGTTAGAGCTACACCCTAATTCCCATCTCTGCGCTGTCATCTCTTCAGTGCCATTGCGTTCAGATCCCCTGTGAGAACCAGACAGGCACTGGGGTTACACTCCCCTTTGGGCCAAGAGTCGGAACCATCATCTTCTCAGCTCTCCCTTCTGTTTTTACCTCATTTTCTCGGACCAGAGCTCTCCATAACGAGCCTCCTCAGAGAATGACACCAGCATTGTGACTTTTGTGATGACTTTGACCTTTTGACCCTGTCTGTTCTCTCCTGTCTCTTTCTTCCACCCCCTTCACCCCCTGCCCCCCCCTCCTCTCTCTCTCGCCTAACTATTGACATCTTGGTCGTTGTTTCTTTTACTGCTTCCCAACCCCTGTTGTCAGATGGGCTGTTCTGTTGTCTAAAACACTTGATAGGTGGACAGGTTTATATAATCCGAGGTGAGTTTCTGCTGGCAGGTCGACGCCTGTACTGGTTCTTTTTTCCCCTATCAATGTTGGACACTGTCTGCCATCCAGAGCTCTGCTCCTCTCCGGGGCTGTCCACACCACCTCCACCTGAGCCTCGTCCGAGTAGGGAATAGCAATCTCTCCTCATGGATGTCGGTGGTAGGGAAACCCACAGACGGGAATATTGTATCCAGATTTGTCTCCTTCAATGGACTGGGGACTGGCTTGAAATGACCAGAGGCAAACACATAAGAGTGTTTACATCAAAAATAATAATAATACAACTTCAAACCTGGGCCCCTTCCATGTCACCTGAGCAAAGGACAAATTATTGCTAAAGGCCGTCAGACAGTGTGTTGAACTGCTGTTTAAAATTGCAGCTGTTGTTTAGTTGAAAAGTGGTTCTGAATTGTTAATCACGTTCATCCGTATAGAAAATCCAACTCCACAAGGAAGATGTATAGACAGTGTTTAGCCACTTCCAGCAAAGATAATTTAATTTGAAAAGGCTATGTCAAGCCCAAATTAGCAACAAAACGCCATACAGTTTACAGTATTTTCTGTTTGACGTCATTAATAAAGATCATTCCTATTCAGAAGATTTAAACACTGTAACCACATTCCTCTTGTGTAATTCAGTCCTTATTCCTTGTTACATCTGTAGGTCCTTTTACAATATTTACATCTGAGTTTTTTCATAAATGTATTTTTAAAAAAATGAAAAGTTTTGCTTAATTTGTTTTCAAGTACCTAAAGTACTAGAGATTGTAATTCTGCACCGCTACTAGTGAACAGCTGTAGTAGAAGCTGAGTTACTCCTTTCAGAACACAGACCACATCCATGAGGAACCTGCTGTTCCAAGTGTGTGTGCTTTGAGCTCTCTCCCAGCATGACTCTGTGCCTCTCCCTACAGTTCGTCTGGCATTCTCCTGGCTCCATCATGGTCCTCCTCGTTGCATCCGCACTGCCTGGGAACCGTGAATGCTCAGTGTTTCTAATGTGTGTCATGGTCTCGCTTTTAGAGCTGCAGAAAGCAGTCTCATGCTTACGAAGTGCTGTAGCTGGCTGTTTGCACAGTAGTTAATGGCTATGTAGAAACCTCAAGATTCCTGATACTATGAATTCATCTGACACAGAGTAAAAAGCCTGGTTTATTTGAATTATTTGAAGCGCAACTCATCTAAGTCTCTGTGGCCTTTTAACTTTGCGGACATAAGCCATCTGTCACACAGAGATTACATGTAAACAGTGATATTATTATGTATGTGTATAGTTATAGTATTTTTTTTGCTGTAGAAAGACAGTACCCTTATCATCTTGGGAAAAGTTTTTAGTCAAAATGAAACTGGTAGGATTCACTTCTGAAGGTTTTGTTTTTCAATTGTTAATCTTTGACATGTAACTTAAACCCACATTAACAGGGAGACCACCAAATATGCAAACATACAGTAAGTAATAACGATTAATGTTGAGATTATTTCCTCTGGGGGTCATTTTGAACAAATAGTTTGAAATTTGGTGTTGGGTTACATCAGAGCAAGAAGGCTCAAATAACATTATATTAGTCATTATGTTAGTAAATAATACTAACATAATAAAGGTTACTAATGAGAGGAGGTCATTTTGCCCACCTAGCCCATCTGGTAGTTCATTGATCCAAGGATGTACTATACTAGATATACCAAATATTGGCTACAGAATATTCAGTAGCTTCTTTATTGTGACTTGTAGTGTAATTTCTTGCCACAAGCTAAGTATGAAAAGGCTAGTTAGTGTGACTGGGTGTATTCATTTTATATGTGGGGCACAACTCTATTTAGTGCAAATGAGGTTGTGTTGACCCTTGTAAAGACAAGGGTTAAAGCTCTTCCTGTTCACAGCGGCAGGCTGTGATTAAAGTAGCTCGTGCTCTACTGTGAGACAATGGTGAGTGAATTTTGCTATCTCGCCTTCATTGCAGGGGCTCTGTTTGGCCACAGACTAGAATCCAATTAAAGCCTGATTTTATACACTCTCCTATTCACCAGGCCTTAGTTCCCTGATTCTCTCTTCATTAGCTACAGAGTTTCTTTTCATGACCAGTAGAAGTTTTATAGCTTGAACACTAATGGGGATCCATCCATCCATTTTCTAACCTCTTCATCCGACAGGGGAGCTGGAGCCTATCCCTCCACACAACGGATACACCACAGGATACAGCCTGGATGGGATGCCAGTCCATTGCAGAGCACACACAGACACAGACATGTATGCTGGCACGCCATGGCCAGTTTTCCCAGTAGCCAATTATCAGCTCTGAACTAAATGAGGAAACTGGACTACCCAGAGGAAACCAAAGTGAGCCAGGGGAGAACATACAAACTCTAAATACTGTAGACAGCACCCCAGATACTGATCCCAGGGCCCCAGCACTGTGAGGCAGTATTGCTAACTCCTGCACCACCGTGTCGCCCGTAATAGGGATCACAAGTCCAAAGTTTCTATATTCTGGCTTTAGTGTTGGTTATGACAAGTAAAAAGCCTGCAGTTGCTTCCTTGTTGCAAGTCGTTGCCAACCATATTTCCATCTCATTTAGCAACAGTGGCAAATAACTTATTTTCACAAGAGGAAGTCAATTAAAACTGACACCCCTGCTCAATCTGAATCCTCACTTGCAGAATAGAAATAACAGCTGTTTCGGCTGTGACTTCACATCAGCTTTTTTCTAATGCTATTGTTTATACATTTAGATGAAATGCAGGTTTATTAGATCCAGTCTTTCTCTTTTAAAATGCAACAGTCGTACTGTAACACATACAGTAGGTAACACATGTAATATTTTGTAAGTAATTATTTCCTATTAAGAATGGTTTAAATTAATGTAATATTTGCTACATCATGTTTCTAGTAACAAAGGAGTATTAATTTAAAAATATTATTTCGATATACAGTAAAATAAATATTTTTAACATTGCTAAAGAAAAAATACATTGCTTTTGTTAATTTGTTACAAACTACAAAATGTTAAATAAAAACCTATACAGGACTGTTTCCTTTGTATGTCCTTGGAAATGTAATCAAGTTCAAGGACAGCTGAAAGTACAACACCAAAGAATCAATAATGGAGATCATTTCTGAGGCATACTGACAAATCTTTGGCTCCCGGTGCTCTGTACTTGCTCTGCTCTGGTATGGCTTTCCACGGCTCTTGTGCTTAGTTGATCCTAGATTAATCCTGGGCTTTAAATCCAGGTCTCATAAAATGTAAAACTGGGCTGAGCCCCCAGCAGGAGACAGGACGGCATGGCGAATGTGACCGTTGTGCTGTACCTGTTCCGGACTGTGCACTCCTGGTCCTGGAAGGCCAGTGTGTCTGCAGCTTTCATTCCAGCTCAGCTTTTAACAAGCTAAACCAGCTGGTTTCTGGCTTAACCGGACCAATTTAACAACAGCTTCCAGTTCTTCAGGTGTTGCTGTTTTAAAGAGATTGTAAAAACCCGCTGACATGGAGGCCCACTATGAGGAGGGATTCATCACCATCCCTGCTGACATACTGGCTCTCCAGAACCAGGACTGGACACCCCTAACGTTCAAGTAGGGAGCTGCATCAAAGTGTAGGCTGCAAAGAAACAGGTGAACATACATTTGCTCAAAAGAAAAGAAACCCAATGTTTTGGCTGTGAAGCCTTCTTCTGGCATGAGGAAGAGAGAGAAAGCAGCCCAAAAAAAAATATACAAAATGCTTGTTTATTCAGCCTTTCACTCAGCATAATTTCTGTGATAATCTACTGTAGGCCCAGATCAGGCGCTCATTCCTGTTCACTGTTCCTGCAGCATTTTTTTCTTCTCTGAGTTATAACCATTAATTAATGAGTAACTTCATTAACTACTTGCATCTTCAAAAGAAAGTAGGTGAGTCGACTTAGAAATGCCATTCCTACATTTGAAAAGGCAAAGGACTTTGCTTGTCTGCGTTTTAAATGTTTTCTAAACAGATGTGTAATCCACCTCTTTAACACCTGAATGTTACAATGAACGTACCTCACTTTCTCTTCACTCTGTCCTCTTCTTAGACACATATGTGAAACTGACCTTGTTGAACTCAATGGGCCAGGAGATGTCCAAGTGCAAGACCTCCATCTGCAGGGGCCAACCTAACCCAATCTACAAAGAGACTTTCATTTTCCAAGTTGCACTTTTCCAGCTGTCGGACGTGACGCTCATCCTCTCCGTCTACAACAAGAGGAGCATGAAACGCAAAGAGATGATCGGCTGGATCTCGCTGGGACTCAACAGCTCGGGGGAGGAGGAGCTCAGCCACTGGACCGAGATGAAGGAATCGAAAGGGCACCAGGTGTGTCGCTGGCACTCACTGCTGGAGTCCTAGGGAGCGGGGGCTGGGCTGGGTGGGGAGGTAGGTACAGGCCCCTAAGGGCCCAGGTGACGGGGGCTGAGGAGGTACAGCAGCACAGAAGACGGAGAAAGAAACGGAACAAACGAGCCACCTCTGGTTCACCCAGACCTGCAGGCAAAGTACCATACAGATGTCTGCCAGGCATGGGAACTGCCACAGGAGCGAGGGCTCATCAAAAGCCAAGTAAGCAACAAGCTTTCAGTCCACGAAAGCGAATCACTGCACCCTTAGAGCAGAACCTTCTCGTTTTTAAACAGCCTCTCAAAGCTTAGCAGAGGCTAGAATGCACAGGCTTGCATTTTCAGAGCGTGCATTCTGGCTCAAAGAAGAATAAACCCAGTTTTTGAGATAGCAAAGGGGCCGTTTCATTTGTCCGTGACCTGGTGAGCCGGTTGAGACCGTGTTTCTTTCCCAAGCGTGGAGGGTATGAAGGAATGCACAGGGTGGCCTGTGCCCAGTTTCATATCTCAGCAGCAGCTATTTAACCTGGTTGAAAAGCCACAGAACATGCAAAGGTAGGCCACTTTCCAAGCATGTGTGTTCAAGGCAAAATTCACTCTGGCTCTGCAGTGGAGTCTCGACAAAGCCGTAAAATGATAAAATGCTGTTTTTTACGTTTATTTGATTATTTTTTATTTTGGAGTCGTAGCTTGTAAGGGATTTTGTAGCAACAAAGTGCGATGATTGTCAGAAGACATTCAGCAGTACAATCCACTAACCGTTATTGTGAATTTATATTACTCTGTCTCCCACTCTGAGGGGCGTCTGCTTTCCACCAGCTCGTTATGTGTTGACATGCAAGGATCACCACACACAGCTCTAGCACACCACACTCACTGACCGCTCTTGCTCTTTTTTTAAATCGTCACCTCATTTTCCTTTTTCAGTTTTTTTTCCTTTTGGACTAACAGGTATGGTTGAGTACCATAACTGGCCCTGGTATATTTACAAAGGTGTGAGTACAGTGGTCATTATAACACACTTTGCTAAACGTTGTTTTTTTCAGAAGGTCCTTACTAATGTCAGATACTTAAATGATCCCTTTCAGATGAAGATTATCTGAACTTTTAGCCCAGCATTCATCCATCCAGTTTCAGAAGGCCTCTGATCCATGGTAAAAGCTGTGGCGAACTGGATTCTGTCCTGAAAGCACAGGGGGCAAGGTGGTCCTCTGCAACACACACTCATAGGGACAATGCAGAGACAAAAATTAAACCAGTGAGAATGTCGTGGGACAGAGAGACGTAACTGTAACATGCAAACTCAACACAGCAGGTGGCACAATCCAGACCTGAGCGATGAGACTCAGCAGAAATATTTGGCATGACATCGGCCTTTTGGAATTTTCTATGCCTTGGTAAATTAATTCCGGTGCTGGTCTAAAAGCAGATACCTCAGAAATCAAAAACACCTAAATAGTATTTATAATTATCAACACATTTGGATAATTGTACACAATTTTGGATAAGTGTACAATTCTTGCACACAAGAACATTGAACATGAAAATGATCGCAAGCAAGAGGAAGCCATTCAGTCCTTCTAGATCGTTAGGTAGTTACTAGTTAATTGTTCTGAAGATCTAATCCAGTATACAGTAAGTGCTTGAATAGTAGTGCTATCTAGAGGTTTCTTTAGAGGTGTCCCCCCACAGTCATGTTAAAAGCACCTTAGGCAAAGGAACATCACCTAAGGGTCTTTGAAAGCAGTGTACATTTTTGATGTTCCTGAGATGTTGGCACTCGGCAATCTCTCCCTTGACTTTGCCCCAAAGTAGTTTTTGACTGATGTTGCTAGAGAGGATAAGAAAGAGAGGTTTTGCAGATTCAGTGAGACTAAGGGAGCTGCAGTATGTGGTCAGGTGCAGATGTTTTTCACATTACCAGCAGCTCAAGAGATTTTGCTTTCTAGGTAGATAACTAATTCCTTTCAAATGCTCCAGCACTTGCATTCACTAAATGGGGAATAACAAAATGATAAAATTGCCCGGTTAATTATCAAATTGGTACCTTATTAGCACCCTTTTGTAGTTATATGTGGAAAGCTAGAAGCAGTGAGGTAGAGAGGATGCGTTGGCAGAAGCAAAAACACTCCAAGTCACCTGTCACTTTATGTCTGGTGTAGGTATTTCATGGCAGGTGTATTTTTCACTGTGGCGATAAGGGAGTCTTTAGCTATAATGTCTGTGATGTGTTTTTTTAAATTAAGGACAAGAAAAGAAAACATCCCTCCAGGTTGTCAATTCAGCTTCCTAAGAAGGATTCCCTCTACAGCTGGACTCATAGTTATAGAGGGTTTTCCTTAAGACTTAAGACTGCTTAAGACTGGCAGGTATGTCCCCTGACAATGCTCTGCACTTAAAGGATTACTCATGTAGACAATAACACTTAAATAACAATAAAGGTTTATCCTTAGCACAGTATTGCTAAGAAAACCCCTAGTCCTGACATCCACTAGTTGTATTATTCCATACCAAACAAAATTAATCACTTCTCTGGATGGGAAGCATTCAACTCCCATGTCTATTTAAGGAGTCAAAAAAAAACACAAAAATGCTGCCCTTCCAACTCAGCTTGCCAAAGGAACAAGCGTCAAGAACAGGAAAGTACAGTGCTCCCATGCCCAGGAATTCACAATCCCCTGTGTATCCAGACCCTGCCCAGATCACTGCGCTCTGTGCTGCCGAATGCTGCGGTGTCGTCACTGGCTCCTGAGCTCCTGAGCCTGGGAGTTAGGGCCACTCCGAGAGCTACAGTACAAGACAACCTCACAGCCCAGTGAACTGGTGTGGAAACACCCCCGGTGAGCTTGTTGGTATTTTGCAGAAGGAGAGAATTCAGAAACGATGTGTAGGAAACAGCACGACACAAGAGAGAACATGACCAATCCCCCCCAACCCACACACAGACAGGAACATAAAAAGGCATTTCTCCACCTGGTAAGCTGCGCTTGGCATAAGGGAGAGACAGAGTACAAAGATGAAAACAGAATGAGACATCCCTTACAAGCTTTAAAATTATCTGCTTCAAAGCATTTCTAAGAGGGTTATGTTAAATCCCCAAAAAGTTGACAGAATTTCATTTTACAACAGTATGCTTTCCAGTATTGCAATAGGAACTTTAATTTACTATATTTGTTTCCTAAAGTTGTTGGCTACAAATTATTATTATTATTATTATTATTATTATTATTATTATTATTATTATTATTATTATTATTATTATTATTATTGACATTGTGGCTTTCAGAAATTTTCTTATAATGGATCTGTAAAAGTATTACTGAAGTGTGGAACTGTGTTCATATTCTTATATTCTTAAGAGTTTTCTTGCTGCTTATAATATAATATTGAAGGGAAAACATAATGCAGGAGATTCATAAGGCACACCTGCTATGTAGCAATCCATGACTATGTGTTAGAATGGTGTGATCCTGTATTCCAAAGTTCAAATCGTTGTCTGAAAATGGAGATGGCCCTGCTCTAGGACCTGCTGACTGAGTTCCTTATGGGTGAGTTGTGCTGATAACATTGGGTGTTGTTTATCAGATACTTCAGCACGCCATAGGGGAAAGCACCAGCGCTGTGGAAATGCAGCTACACAGCACCAGTCTGTCCCCTCTTCTGAATCCCAGATAACCAGATGCTGATGAGTGGATGTTGGGAGCGATTTATTCAGTCATTAGAAGCTGTCCCTCAGTCTCACCAATGTTGTGAATACAAATTGCCTGCAACGCCATGAATCCATTTTTGGAAAATGAAAAAAATCAGGTCCGTGTGTTGCATCAGGTTTTTAGTGTAGTGCTGAGTTTCTAACAATTTACTTTAGATTGTCTGACAATATTGTAACATGTCAGGTCATCCCCCCTTAGTAGCATGATGATGTTCCTTGATTGGGGCTTTATTTCTACAACAATCCAACACTGACCCATCAGAGACATGTTATCTGTGGCCTTAAAGTCATTCTCTTTCCCCACTGCTTGGTACTGCCTGGAGCTGTCTAGTGAATGGATGTTTATAGTTCTCTCCACAGCCTTTCTTATATTTTCTAGCAAACTCACAGGGCAGGCACTGTTCCGGCGAGGCTCTTTTTTATAGCCTCGGTATGATGGGTTGAGGTGCTGTTTCCAGCTCCTCACTCAACCTCAACATCTGGCCTTAGACCCCTCTGATCACTCACAGCGGTCCCAGACCCACCAAGATGAACTTAAGGAAAGGGCAACTAAGGGAATGAATGCAAAGGAACCACCTAACACAGAGCTGTTTTTCCCTGGGAATGTTTTCGCAGGTGCTCCATTGTTGAGCAAACCTACATACTGTAGAGACATATTGTAGGTCTCTTGAGTCCAGAGTGGTTTCAGCACTTTGGATGTTGCTACATAAACACTCAGTAGACCTGTCTGCACAGGTGAGAGGTGAAAGTGGGCACAGAACTCTGGGCCACACTGGTGTCATGTGTGCATCTTGCAGGTTTTTTTTTTTGTATTGTTAAAAAGCTTCTTAAGATTTCAGAACAACTAGCTCATAGCTTAACTATTCATAAGAAGAAAATAATGATTAAATTAAGAACCATTCAAAACTGTAGGCCCAGAAATTACAGTTGGTCGTGTACAGCTGGAGTTAAGCACCGTTGGTCTAAGATGATTATTTCTACAGGACTGAAGGTGATAAAACACAACTCATTCCAGAGATGTAATATACATTTATGTGGTGACTAGCACAGTAGATGTCTGGCTGTTGGCAGAACCACTGTAGGTTGATGTGCAGTACATGGTGTGTTGCCTGTTCTCTTAACTGATGCTGCAGAGGTGGGCTCACTTTCTCACATCAAACCCAAGATGTGCTAATAAATATGTACACCCCCCACATACACATTCAGACAAAAACTCTTTCCAGGGAAACCTGTTCAGTGGCAACTAAATGCAAGCTATACAGAAAATTGTTTTTTTATTATTCAATGAACATAAGTGCATTAGAAATGTCACAACCAAGGGGAAACTTGTTGACTTGGGTCTCATAAAGACTGAGTCAAAGTCTCTCCTTTTGTACAGTGTCAACGATAACTGATGAGTTCTACTATTCCCTCCCTATTTTGTTTTCTATGCCGAATCTCTAGCCATGTAAGGAACTAAATACTTTCTTACTACAGTAAAAAGGATTGTTTTAAGGTCCTTGTGTCAGTTTTTTAATTGTCAGCTTGAACTCGGTTCCATCCTAGAAACTTTTCCAGAGTTTATGCTTTACAAGGCGTATTTTTCTGATTCACACTGCTGTGTACAGTATAAGCATAAACAGACATGCTCTTTTTTAACATAATTGAGGGACTGTATTTTAGTAAGAAAGGGGAGACGTACTTGAAGGTCTTGATTTGGATAAGAAAGTGTGCTCATCCTCTACAGAAAAAGTTAATGTAATTGTGAAGTTGTACCATTATTTAAATAGGCAACTGTCACCTACAGAAGGCTTGACACATGTCAATCGCCTGTGAATGACCTCTGGACATTTCTACCTTTTCACATTGTGCTGGTAGATAGATGGACAATAGATTTCTCCTCCATGCAAGTTTCAAATCTCTGCTCGATCTTTTTCAATTCTTCTATTGAGTTTTAATCAAGATAGTTCAAGCCTATCAATTGTTACATACTGTATACTTTATAATATAGATTTTTCCTATCTATTTTTGTATTAAAATATTAAGAATTAAAATCAAGAAAGTATCTGGTATAAGTTAAAGCTCTGTGAGCAAGATTAATTAAACAATAAGTTTGATATGTTCATTTACTTATTAATGATTTTGTGTGTCATCTCTGCACTGCTCAAGAATCAAACAACAAGCATACAGTTACTTTTTCTTAGGTTATAGGTAAGTTGCAGTCCATTAAAACCATATGGAGGGAAAAAATTGAAACAACCTTGTTATTAAATGTGATGTTGTCTCGGATGTGCTGGTGTCAGCAGTTATAATGAAGCATCTGTGTTCTTTTTCCATTCCCATTGAAGATGTATAAAAGAACTCCATGAATCAGCTGTGTGAAGTGGTAAAGCTCTGTGCAACAGAAAAGCACATCTTAAAGCACAACAGTGAAACGCACCTTGTGAAAGATTGTAAGCATGGGGATTCGCTGGGGACAGTTCAGCATCTGTATCTTACATGAAGGCTGGTAGAATCTTGTGCCGTAGAACAGTCTGCTGCAAACTATGAGCTGACTTGAGTTCTTAGGCAGCTACTGTACTTCTACCACTAATCAAAGCTACAGATCTCATTGACCAGCTATCTGAGTCCTTTAAAATTGTACACTGTACAGTATATGCTTTTCCCCTTTTAAACAACATCTGCATTGAACTCACCAATGCATACATAATAGGCATAACTAAAATATATCTCAAAGGGAGCTGGCGGAACTGTCGCCTACATGAGAAGAAAGAAAAACACACACACCAGTAGTTGTGCAGAAATATTTTACGTTTTTTTTAAGAAAAAATAAGGTTTGGCTTAATAATGTTTCCTGCAGGGCAGGTACTAAATATCATATCAGCCTGGGATACTGTAATCTGATGACGTGCATCCCTGACTCAGAGAGGCTTCATTTATTTCACTCCCAAAGTTCAAAGTTCCGCACCTTGTTCCAACACCTCTAAATGGTTTGCCCTGCTCCATAATTAGAATAAAGCGCTTTAATTTAGATCTAGTTGGATCCTTTGGCCTTTGCTAACAATCGTGCCCAATGCTGTTTCATTTTCGTTGAATTTTATTTTTTATTATTTGTCGATCCTTGTTCGAATTTCACTTCAGCACTAAAGACGACGATCGTTAATGATTTTGCTTCACTGCTTTGTGCATCTCAGTAATGTGCCCTTTGAAGGGTTTCATTGTTGCCTCAGGCATTTTCCCACTGATACCTAAAGTTCTTGCTCGATTCAGCTTGCTGTCACTGTGCCGTTCCCTGCTGCAAAATTATATTGAGGAGCTGCCCATTACGACACATTTGATCTCTACCCTTTTCATTCCCTACATGTACCTGCACATTGTAATTAGCAGTTGAGAAGTTAAATTGGAAAATGAAAAGATGTGGGAAATTCCCGCTGTGCTCGCAGCAGGACAGGCCTGCAATTGGAGCACAGGATCATGTGTTCTGTTGAGCAAGCTGACTGTAGGCGCTGCTTTTCGGATTTTGCTGAATCCATTCCAGTGTCCTCCACGTTTTCCTTCCTGCGGCAGCTTTGCAGAATATGTCATGTACCTTGAAAGACATCGGCTTAAGGCAACACTCAGGCTTGAGAGCTCGCTAGTCATTATGAGAAAGAGCAGAAAGCCGTAAACCTGTGAAAATTGCCTTAGAGATTTACCAGAGTAAACTTTAATCACCGTAGATAAACTTGGATGCCATTTTCAGTAAAGCTGTCTAAACCTATTGTTACACCAGCAAGGCATCAACACAATTTTAATAAGTCCACAGACAGTAGCACAAAAGAAAAGACTCTGATCCTCATATGAGGATTCATGTGCATTATCTCTTATTCCCAAAGAATTCCTGGACAAACCTATTAATCAAGTAGCACTTTTTTTCACACTGATCTTTCCCAGGGTGTGTTCTTACTACTGTGGTTTAAAACAGGTAACATTTTGTATGTATATTTGATGTTCTGTATATTTATTTACTGATTTTTTTTTTGTTCGTTCTTGTTTAATCCATTTTTAATACTGCCTACAACCACCGATCCTGTCGGTGCCTTACAGATTTTGTCGAGAAAACTATTATGAAGATGACTTTGTTTCACTGTGTGTAAATGTAATTCTTAATAAGTGAATCAATTTGTAACGACGTCTTAGATGATGCTTTATGAACAAAAAGATTTGTATGTGTTATCATCATTTTAAAAAAAATACTTCTACCATGGAGTTGTGTCCAGTGTTTTTTTATGGGGGTGTGGCTTGTGTTTAAAACTTTTTAAGTGAACAGTTTCCTTCATCTGAAAAAACAAAAAAGGTAAGTTAAAAGGTTTGGAAATTCCTGTTTCCTATTTGTTTGTATAATATTTGAGTACAAGCTGCAAAACCACAACACGATGAACTAAAATTCCCAAATGTAATGTTTATGTACATTAGTATACAGAACTATGTGGTAATAGTTTGGAGGAGATTTAAAAGAAAC